TGCCGCTTTCGCTGCCGCCCAGACTCCATGGCGCAAGTCCCATTGCTCGCAGTCCTTCCTCGCCGCCTACTTCGCGGATGTCCTTTTCGGTGAGACGTCCTGTGTGTGGCGCTTCGCTGCCGAGCCCGGTGCCGGTGGAGTCGAAATCTGGTCCTGGATGGCCGCGGAGGAAGGCCTTGCGCTGACGGGCTAGGAATAGGGCGTTGGTTTGCGTCAGCGGCGCCGCGGGGGTGTATACTAGCATGGATGTCATATCAATACCATCGTTACCGCTGCCTGACGATGAGGAGGTTCGCGGTCGGCTGGTGCTGCGGTAGTTAGTGTTGGAGAATTGGTACGCCTGGTCTGGATGCCAGATGATATAGTCGCCAGCTTGCAGAGTCGGCGGTGTAACCAAGCTCTTGTCCAGCTGCAAATGCGGGTGCCACGCCGCCGTCACACGTTGAGCATGTCCAGGCACCGCACCATGAATTATAGTCGACTGCTCCTTTTCCAGCGTCCAGTTCGACGCATCAAGATACGCATTCCACTCCTCCGTACTCGCGCCCTGCTCCGGCGGGCCCTCCTTCGGCGTGAAGAACGGCCTCAACAAAAAGTACGCCGTGGACAGTTTCGGCGACGGCAGCAACCGAATCATGCCGGGCTCCACCGTCGTCAACGCAAGAATGCCCTGAAACAGACGCATCATGGAACATGCACCGGCGCCGTTGTACAAGTCGGACGTGGCGTTGACGCGACCAGCCGGATCCCACGCATCGTAGGCCTCCCAGTCGCCCTTGAAAATCGCATCGTACAGGCCGCCACGACCGTACCCATCCTGCTCCCAGCGCTCGAGGCTGCCGTTGTCAACCTGGGCGATCTGCGCCGACGACGTGGCGGCGGCCGCCGCGATCAGGCTGTCCTCGTGCGTCGTCGGCGCCAGCGCGGCCCCGTTGACCGTCAGATGGCCGTTGGCCTGCACGGCCTCGATGCGGATGCGGTCGGCGTACGTGATGGGGAAGCGGGCGGCGAGCCGGTCGTCGTTGTTCGTGTTCCACAGGGACATGGCGAAGCGCTGGGCCCGCAGGACGTTGGGGTGGGCGCGCGACCGGACCTGGGCCGGGGTCCAGAAGAAGTCGAAGCAGGTGGGGTCCTGGGCCGGCGGCGGCTTGTACTCGTGCTTGGTCTCGAGGTAGCGCCTGGTCTCGTCGACCCAGGCGTGCGCGTCGGCCGGCGGCACCACGCCCTTGACCACGCCGATGCCGTGGCGCTTGAGCTGCGCGTGGAACGGCGCGACCTTGCCCGCGTCGTCCATCTCCGCGAAGTCTATCGACGGGATCAAGCCCGACCCGTGCCTCGCGATGTACTCGACCTCGTCGCGCAGCGCGGCCAGCAGCCGGCCCCACGACGCCTCCAGCGCGGGCTCGTGGCCCGCGACCAGCTTCTTCTTCAGGCTGCCGAAGCGCGACGGCAGCGGCACCGGCTGCGTGCCGTAGAAGGATAGGACGGGCGGCTCCATGCTCTTCGTGCTGAATACGCGCTGTCTGCTTTTCGAATTTCGGCCGTCTTTGTGGTCCCCGTTTCTGCTCCTTTTGATTCCTATCACTCCAATTTGTGGCGTGCAAGTTGTTGTTATTGATGGTGTTGTTGCTGTTGTTATTATTGTGCTGCTGTCTATTGTTTCTGGTGATTTTGTGGTTGCTGTCGTCGGTGTTGCTGTCGATATTGGCGTGCTGGTGTTGGAGTTAGTTATGGTGGTTAATGTTGCTGTTGTTGTTGTTGTTGTAGGTTTCGACGATGCTGCCGCCATTGCGACGTGAGTAGTTGTGGTACTGTTACTACTATTACTGGCTTTCACAGCGCCAGCGGCCGTAGGAGTAGTAGTGGCGGCGGCAGCAGCAGCAGCAGCAGCCATTGCGCTCTCGAACGGTGAGGGGAGTGCAGCAGCAGTGCGCTGTACCACATCTACGTTGGACATGCTTGCTTCAACCCTTTCCCTTTTTCTTTCAATTTTCTTTTCCTGTTTTCCCTGCTGCTCTTTTGGTGCGTAACCCCGTGTCTTGTGATCCCTTCTCTGCGCTGTGACTCGGCCATTCAGATTCCGTCTTCTCTCTTTTCGCCCACCTGGGCACCGCGGGGTTGAGCAGGGACTAAATAGCACGGGCTGTCTTATGGGTGGTAGAATACCTACCGGGTTTGACTTCTTCTGTACTGGGGACTGGAGGAGAGAGAAAGCCAAGGATAATACATCACCCACCCCCTGTCAAAGTGTTCTTTTCCCCATTCATCAACCGTTCTTCTCCCCATGCGGCAGTCCGGCCCGACCAGGCATGGCTGCGGCGCACCTATTTAGATTGACGAGCCGGCTCGCAGCTCCGTGAGGCCAGCGTAGGCCTAGCCCCTAGACACCCCAGACCCCATCAAAGAACCATGAAGAGGAAACGTACCTACTTTGCTGGGTCGATCCGCCTCACTTGCAGCAAAGCTTGGGTGAGAAGCTGACACTTGGATGATAGAGGGCATCGAATAGATTGAATTATCCAGGGGCTTCCTTGCAAATCAGACTGTCTTTTTCTTCATATTCTTCCCGATCACTCCCACCAGCAGTACAACTTTGGATGTACTATACTACTATGTACTCCCTCATGAAGTTTTGTACTCCGCTCACAACACCAGGTCTCTTGCTATCGATGGCTTTCTATTGGTTGGCAATTCAGACATGGGGGAAATTTCCCGTCGAACCTCATCCGGGTCATCTACTAATTATGCATGATCCATCCAAGATGAGCTTTGTGCTTGAGGCATGTCCCGAAGCGGTCCATTCAGGAAAGAGAATCGTGACTTACCAAGACGGGACTGCTATTCTTCCTCCAGTGGTCTCCTTTGCTTATGCCCAATTATTGATTTATTATTATTTTTAAGGGTCCTGCGGTTTTAGTAGCTGTATTCTACCGGGCCATGTGCCGTTCGCCACTCAACTTTTTTGCAGCTTGTTTTTTATCTCCTAAAACATCTCCTGCTCTAGGTGGGGCATAGTTTACGCGCGTACGTCTATCTAGACATCCGGCAAGGCCTTGTCAAACAAGATCACAAGCAAAATAACAATAGCATTCTTTTCTTCCGGCCTAGATAACCTTACGTGGCTCTATTGCTTCTAGGCCTCCAGCTAAAAAGTGGTCCTGGTTCCCGGGTTTCCCTTTCGTTTAGCCCTAGTGTCGCCGGAGACGGTAATCGATTCGTAGGAAACGCTACAGCGATATTGTAGATCAAGGTAGGCGGCGCAAACGGGAAACCAAGCCAATCCTACACTTGGGGCCTCCGACCTGCTGGGTCGTGAGGTGACGTTCCGTAGTTCGACGCTACGTTCCGCGTTTTGCAGTCAAGTCTTTTTTTTTGTATTCCCTCCCGTTTTATAATCCGAATACGCGGATTCAACTGCAACTGTCACGATGTGCTGCCGTAACGGCCAAGACATCATGTCGCCGCATCGTGGCGGTTTGATCGTTTTGGAGTTAGCACGCAACGCGAGGCGACATTCTGGAATCTGTCATGGAACATGGAAATGACAGGGCCGCCTGCCGGATCCTGTTTCGTAAACAGACAATAAGCTTCGGCGTCCACCATATGCCAAACTGACTGACTGATCGTCGCCGGCTGGTGAACAGCTGATATCTTCCAACAACAGCTGGAACGAGTATGTTCCCTTGGTCCATTGCTATTCGTCCAGGGTGTTTAGCCACAAAGCGGATAGAAGCCGGGTTTAACTTTCTAATCTATACGTCTCACAATAATCATGAGTTAGGTACGGTATGCCCTCACCCTCTTCGCTTCGGAACCGTGTTTGTCTATAATGCACAGTCGGTCTGAAGCTGAAGGATCGGTCAATCTGAAGGTAAGGAGATGAGCAGCCGCAAGTCCACGACCACCAATCCATGTCTCTCAATATACATACCTACATACTCAAATTCAGAGCGACGCCATTACCAAGTACACCTCAAGTCTGGTTTCAGTCGGCCCACGGAAAGACTTACGCAATGCAGGCCGAGATACTCCCAGGAGACCATACCGCATGTGCATCAAGTACGGTGAGCAGCCATCACTCGCAGACGGCTCTCCCACCCGGTGTCATCCGCACCGCGCAGACCGACCGACAGACCGGGAGCCTGGATAGAGGACGCACAGTTTGCATCTGACATTTCGACAGATGGCGCAACTGACGATACCTAGGTAGGTAGATAGATAGACGGGGGGGGCGTGGGGGGCACCACATCATCTCACCATCACCACCACCACCACCACCACCACCGAGTTTCCCAAAAGCCCGCACATATACAAAGTAGCATCGAACGGGTGCCGGGAACCATCCCATCCCATCATGCGGATTTTTTTTAATGAAATAACCTACCTGGTATCGAGCTGGCCTTTTTTCTTACAGGCCCAGTCCAAGTCAGCTTTCGCTTGCGTCATCTCGAGGGCTTGCCGGATGCAGTAATTAATGCTCTCCCCCGAATCGCCCTCCTTCCGTCGTGCCGGCGGCGTTAGCATGATTCTCGCCAAGGTGGGGGGGTTTGAATCGCCGAAAACCCCTTGGGATGAATTTGGCTTGTTTGTTTCTTACACGTGATTATCAAGAGAAAAAGCCCTTTCGTTCTATATTCTTCCAGATAGGTAGGTATGTAGGCTCAATGAATCATGGATTGCTAATGAATGGTCCTGCATCCGCGAAACACGGGGTCAAGTTGCATCGCCGGCAAGCATGCGAATAGCGACTTAGAGGCTTCTGTCTGACTGACGCGTCATCTGTGTTACACATATAAGGCTTGGCTTGTTGTTATGGATTTTGATTTTATTTTGAGGACTATGAAAGCGAGCTGAATTCTCCACGGCTTGGTCTATTTGATCTATTTGATACATTTCGAGGTTTTTGTTAAGTACCTACCTAATCTGAGTGTTGCACGTCTATTATAAATCTAGATTGACAAGTGTCTTTCAGTCCCACGTTTGACGAATATGTTGTCCAGTCTCGATTCGTCTAGTGGTTAGGATACCTGCTTGTCATCAAGGCTCACGATAGTGTCTATAGCGCGCAGGTGGCCGGGGTTCAATTCCCCGATCGAGAGGATATAATTTTATTTTATTTTTGTATTTTTACCTTTTTTATCTTTCCCTCGTTTCGGCTGCTGTACTTCTAGACTTTTAGAAGACGATTGAATCGTACGCTTATAATTCCTAACGGGGGTAGCCTAGCTCATCTGCCGGCTTCTAGGTCAGATTTTTCTAGAACATGTTTAATAGGCTCTGATAAGGAGGCAAATGAGTTCTCTGCTGCTGTGAACCCTTGGCTACTATAACTCTGCAGGTTCAGCTTTGCTAGGAGTCATTAAAATGCCCGTAGTTTGAACCAGTCTTCTCTAGGAACACTCATACCCAGATAGTCATGCCATTAGAAAAGACTTCATTATGAGGACGCTTAGATAAACTTAGTCGTAATCCGTGAACTCATAGAAACCCTTCCACAGCCTTCCAGAGCCCATCTGGATTCTCACACATAGGCAAGTGTCCCGCTTCCGGCACAACAGCTAGCTCGGCGCCATCCTTCCCTAGTAGGCCCTTAAACCCATCCATTGCCTTGACCAAAGCTCCCTTTCCATCTCCCTCGCCCACAATCAGCAAACCGGGAACTTGACACTCCTTCATCTGAGACTTCATGTCGTAGTCCCAAAGCGCCTGACAACCGAACCGAAACCCTTCTACATCGTTCTCCGCCACCATGTCCGTAATCCAGTGCGCCGTCTCTGGCTTGTTCTGCATGGTCAAAGGGTTGAACCAGCGCTCGACTGTCTGACCAGCTAGCTTCTTGATTCCAGGACCCCCGTCCTCAGCGGTGCTCTCCGCTACTCCGATGCGCTCCTTCCAGGCGTTCGTGTTGGCAGGGCTGGAGGCTACGTTGAAGTCGCAGGCGACGAATTTGCGTAGCTTATCGGGATAGTTGAGTGCGAAGCGCAGCGTTGTGGCGCCGCCCATGGAGACGCCGATCAGAGTGTCGAGCTTGGTGATGCGCAATGCCGTGAGAAGGGCGCGAAGATCGTCCGCAAGAATATCAAGCGTCGCGGGCGTTGGAGGAGCTGGAATTGCGTGGCGCCCACGGAAGTCGTAGCGCAGAATGCGGTATTGTGGTCTTTGGGCTTTGAATATATCGATGAATCGGTCCCACATGTGAAGAGAGGTAAGCAGTGAGTTGCAGAAGGCGACGGTCGGTGCTTTGGGATCTGGGTTGCCTTCTAGTCTGTATGGGATGGTAAGTCCATCATGTGCTGTTACGGAAGACATGATTGCCGCGGGATTGGTTGAGGTAGTCGACGAGGAATCTGGTGCTTTGAAAGCCGGTGTCGAGGGATCTAGGCGAGATAAGTTGTATAAGTCGCGTGGCGCTGGACCAAAGACGTAAAATAGAGAGTACAGTCTCTGGGAGTTTAGCGTAGCATAACTGGCCTGGATTTCATCCCATCCTGGTGTGCGCGTTGCAGCGTACTGTGCATTATCTCCTAGCTCGTTTGTTTTCGCAAATTCATGCAGCGCGATGAAGGATACGGGAGCGCCGGCCTCTAGAGTAGAAGTCTTGAGGATTCTGGAACGCAGCCAACCAGATACTTTCGACAACATGTTTACTTGCTCCTCTAGCCATTGAAGGGTCTTGGTCTTTGAATCTGCTGAGTCTTTGAGCTTGAATTCAACCGCAAGTAAAGTGAGACCTTCGGCCTCATCATCCGTCAATTGTTCAATTGGGAGGAAAAGCGGTGACTTCTTTTCAGATGGAAGATCCCAGAAGTATCTTTTCACATTTACCTGGCCGATAGTCTCAGCTTCGCGAGGCGATCTATTTGCTCTTAGAGATGTGTAAGTTTCGGTCTCCAGATGGGACATAGACGTAACATCATAGGCAGCTAAGAACGTGGGTTCCTTTCCATCCGCTGCCTGGTAACGAAGTCCGTTCGAGAAGATCTGTGGTAGCCGAAGCCGAGTCGGACCATGCTCGTTGTTGTACCACTCATGAAATTGTTGTATCGGCAGCCCTGCCTTGGGCTGCATGGTCACGTAGAGCATTCCGGCGTTCGCCATGGCGTTTGTAGGTATTATTTTTAGTACGAATACTGCAAAGCCTCTCAGTATTCGATTATCCAGACTTAAAGACATGATAATCGAATATCAACTTACCGGGATGCGGAGATAGAACAACTCGGCTCGAGTTCCTTTTCCAACTTTCCGATGGATCACTTCTCGACGATTCTCAAATCACACAATTCAGTTGGCAACTCACACACTGAGCCAGCGGTGGCGAATATTCGACGAGCGATGAATGAGTTGTCGTTCTAGAAGTTTGCCGAGCCTGCGTGACACATTAACAAGACACCACTTCGGCAGAGCCTCAGCGATTGCATCCCGTTCTACGGCAATGCTATCGGCAGATGGAGCCGACTAAGTGGAGGTAAACTCCTCCAAACGTCACAAGTATGGAATATCGTGATCCCGAGTTCAGCCCGACAGAGGATTCAAGGTCTTTGCGAACTATTTACTCCGGCGATTGTGATACTGTCTTGCGGGTAGATATCTCTTGCCAAGCTCACCGCGATATACATAGAAGCAAAGACAATGCACGATTATAAACCCTTACCAATCTCGAAGGGGGTGCGTCGTCGGCAATGAGATTCGATAACCTAAGCACGGCTGAGCTTAATAGGACTTGTATACCGATTACTCATGTGAGGCTCAAGATGCGAGCAATGCGACCGCAGAGGACGAGGCTAGCATGTCTGTTTGACGTGACGGCGCCCGTTTGCGTCGAGTAGAGGGATACATGATGACCATGAGATTGAGGGTTTTGCGATAAAGTGACAAAGTGAAAGCTGCGATACACATCATATCTTAGGTGTATTGACATGGAAATGCGATACTCAATTTGATCTGTCACGGAAGAATTTGTGGTGAGTTTCTTTCAAATGATCGCTGAATCGTAGCATCGAAACCTTCCGAACGACACAGATTGCTTGCCTCATCAAAGCAACGCTTGTCTAAGCTGTATTGAGGGAAATCTGGTTTAAAGTTATTTACTAGAGATGATGTCGATTTGTATGAAAAAGAGAAAAAAGACAACGCGAGACAGAACGATCATTTCAGTCGATGCAAACGGGGGCATAGGCAAAAGCTAGCATCCAGAAAACCTTCCGATGCGGCCGTCAGCGCTCAAAAAAAAAAAAAAACCTTCCGAGCGGAAGATTACGCATAGCAAGGCGGCACCAACGCCGAGTATCAGATGAGATGAGCCCAGGTCGCCGATGGTCGCATTTTGCAGTTTCTTCTCGCTGCACTCATCTTTCCTTTCTTTTTCTTTAAAAAGGGCCAGAGAAATGGCGTCTGCGAAGCGTAATGGCGGACTCGGACTCGTCTCCTATATTTGGAACGGTCTTAGATGCGCAACACGCAAGCCAGAATGCAGACCAACTTAGCCACGACAGACGATGCAAATAAAAAATCTTCAGTTTCTAGACATCCTGAGAATGTCCCTGTTGATGCGCAAACTCAAGCCGCCCCTATTACCGAGAAATCGCAGCGGGGTATTCGATTCTGGGCCATCATCTTTGCACTCTGCACAGTATCTCTGCTTTCGGCCGCGGAGAATACGGTCGTCGTCACATCTCTCCCTACGATCGTTGATAAGCTTCATGTTGGTCAGGACTATGTCTGGATTAGCAATATATTCTTCTTGACAAGGTAAGTACTTACCTCCTAAATAGGATAACCCTCCTCAGCTAGAACACTTTACTTTAAATACCAGCTGACTGGAGACGAAGTGCGGCTGTACAGCCCTTATGTGGACAGTTATCCAACCTCTTCGGACGGCGACATCTAGCTCTATCTATCGTGGCCATCTATATCATCGGCAGTGGGATATGTGGTGGCGCTCGAAACTCAGCTATGTTGATCGCCGGCCGGGGTGTGCAAGGAGTCGGTTCAGGAGGTAAGTTTGTTTGAACTTGATCACTGAGTCTGCTGCCACTATATTCAATCCCAAGTTCTAATTTGTTCGACCTAAACAGGTATCAACATGATAATAGACGTAATCGTATCCGACCTAGTCCCTCTGCGACAACGCGGTAATTTCATCGCCGTTATAATAGCAGTGTACGGTATCGGGACAACCCTAGGACCATTCCTCGGCGGCGTTATCGTCGAGAACACATCATGGAGATGGGTTTTCTATATCAACCTACCCATCGGGGCTCTAGCATTCATACTCTTGTTCGTATTTCTCCGTGTCAAATGGGACAAATCTTCGACCGCTTATGAAAAGATGCGACGGCTCGATTACGTCGGTAACGGAATCCTGATCGCGTCGACGGTGTCTGTCCTCATCGCCTTGACCTGGGCAGACGTGCTATATAGCTGGGGTTCGTGGCATATCTTAGTGCCCTTGCTTGTCGGAGTAGGAGGTATAGTAATGTTCGTAGTCTTCGAGGGTCTGCCGTTCGTGACCGAGCCGGTGATGCCACTTCGCCTATTCCACAATCGCACCGCCATCCTCGTCTACCTTATTACCTTCCTCAATTCGGTTCAGAACTACTGGTCATTCTTCTTCGTTCCGATTTACTTCCAGGCTGTCCGACTAGCCTCTCCGGCAGAGTCGGGAGTGGACCTGCTAGTCTTCAGTCTAGTAGGGATTCCCGGGGCAGCTATCGCGTTACTAATCCTGTCAAAATGGGGTCGGTATAAGATTATTCACATCCTGGGTTCGGCTATGTTCACCCTTGGTATAGGCTTATTCAGCATCATGAACCAGGACACAAGCACGGCTGCCTGGGTCTGGATCAACATCGCTGCAGCCCTAGGAACTAGCATGCTCACTAACACCCTGCTCCCTGCTTTCCAAGCATCCGTGAAAGAAGCCGACCAGGCCGCGGCCACGGCTACTTGGAACTTCGTCCGGAGCTTTGGGAACATATGGGGAGTAGCCATCTCGGCGGCGATCTTCAACAGCTTTACCGCAGCATACGCGCCTATGGTCGACGATCCGCGCGCTCGAGCGTCGTTGACGTCGGGAAACTCGTACTCGAGTGCGACCAAA